TAGTTTAAAGGTAAAGTTTATTATTGTTTGTACGTAAGTCTACTAACGTTACTACTATATATATATATATATATATATATATATATATATATGTATATATAACACGTGTTTAATAAAGTTTTCTATTCTGTTTAAACATTGCTTCAATATTTTCCTTAATACATATATGTTTAATGTTACTAAATGAATAATACTTAATTATCATAAATCTCATTGTCACTTGAATTTTTCCATCGGTAAGTGCATCTGCTTTCCCTCTGGTTTAAGTACTTTCTTTCCTGGATAAGGAAAAAGCCTGGCAGAATTAATACTCATCTATATTTCTAAATCATTAGATTCTACATGACTTTTGACCTTTGAAAGTTTAAAAATTACCAGGGCTAATAATCCATATCCTAAATGATTAAAGTTTTCCTTTTAATCGGTGAAACTTGGAAACTTTTTTCTAAGACTAAACATAGCACCTTATAAAAAACCTCTGTTTCAAATTGTAATGAACAAGGCTGAATGCTTCATGATGAGAGCTTGAAATCTTAATAGCACAGTTTGTAAAACATTGGTATCAAAACACAAGTACAAACAAGTCAGTTTCCAAATAGAACACTGATTTTTACTGTTTAAGATCATTACAGTATGTATTGTTTGATGTAAAAAAAACAACTGACAGTTTTGTATTTCGTTCTCATCTTACTTCTTATTAGACATTTTGACAAGCTATGTAAACCTAATGATTATCTAGTTGCAAGTTTTGCAATATCACTTTATGTTGTGTTCCTGTTTTGTACAATGAGATATATATATATAAACCACATCATTCTCAAAATATAAAATTAATAAGGAATTTACACAATGACCTTACCAACAACTCCATGTCTATTATGCTAACATATGTGCCTAAAAAAAGATGTTGAAACGATTCTAAAGGTAAATAAATACCTACCTAAATTGTCAGATAAAAAATTAACAGTACTAACACAGATCTGAAAGGCAAAATTTAAAAAAAAAATTATAAATCACAAACAAATATTCTACTCTTTAATTTTTATGTGCAAAAACGTCTATAAAGATCATTAATAAAAAATGCTGATGTTTCTAAAAATGTAGACATTGCTGTGAACAACTGCAAATTCTGTTCATGAAACAGTTATGCCCCCACTAAAACTATGCTCTATTTTTAATTCCCCCCCAGTTTGATGATGTAGTACCTGACCACAAGATGGGGGCAGATTTTCTATGTACCAGTGATTTTTTTTACACTGAACTTAGACACATATTCTTCAAAAGTTAATCAGGTCTAGAACTTTTTATGCAGTACCTGTTATACAAGTTTGATCAAAATCCATCCTTCCAATCTTGAGATATCCAAGATAGAAGTAGACGGACAAATGAACAGAAGAACACGTGCATACAAATATTCCCCTTTCTGCGATACTTCTCAGTGGGAAATTTAAAAGTTAAGACAATTCTTTGAGAGTTCTTTAATGTGATGTTTGTGATATTATTGTCAAATTCATACCTGCATCCTTGTGAACTGAAATCGTAATAGTTGGATGCACAACGTTCACACTTTTCCCCATCTACCCCAGGTTTACATTGACAATGACCCTGCCGGTTGCACTGTAAACTACGAGAACCTAGAAAAAACAAAGAGATTTATAAAAAAATAAAAAAAGCTATAATATTTATACATTATAATAACCTTCAAAAAGAGAGAGAAAAGCCTAAGTCTTTGCTTGGACAAATTCATTTAATGCAAACACTTTAAAGCAGTGAGTGGTAAAACAACCAAGACATATTTTACAAAAGGATAACTCACAAGGCACATTGCCGATAACAATCAAGTTTACGAGTAGATACACATTTATGGGTTAGTATACGTGAATAAAACGTACCTGTTGAATCACAGTTGCACGGTACACATCTTCCATCATCTCGCTCGTAAAAGTTTTCTTTACATCTCTCACAATGTGGCCCATCAGTGTTATCAGTGCACTCTATGCAATGTCCGCCATGTCCCGTGCGTTCATAAAGCTGTTTGTCAAAGTAACACTTATTGGATCTGCCGTTACAATTACAAGCTAGAAAGAAGACATAATAATTAATGTTAAAGTTACGAGACATATCAAAATGGCTAAAATTGATCTAGAGTGATATATCAAAAACACCCAACGATCTTGCATTTTCAGGTTTTAGTAAACTGTAGCAGCACTTGTATGTAAGCATGAAACATAAAAACTTGAATTTTAATATGATGTTTAATTTTAGCAGTTATGAATAAAAAGTAATAATCAAATAATAATAATAATACATCCGCGAGTGAACATACACCCATTTCTAATACTAAAATAAATCGTTCCGTCTTGGTTTAATACCTGTAATCCTTTTTCTTTTGTTACTTACTTTGTATATATGGCTAATACAACTCGATACTTATAATGATGCCTATCAACAAAACCGCGCCGAAAACCGTCCCAAAATGGCTTAAATTTTCTGGAAACTGAACATTTGATGAATGTAGTTAAAGCAGGTACAAGCATCACAGTTCTAATAAATAAACAGACAACATAAAAAAGGGATTTGATCTTAAATTACGAAATGCTCTTGGTAATTTCTGGAAAATATGCTATTCATACAATAACGTTAAAGATAAAGTTATCGAGTGAGAATAATCATCAAGCTTCTAACGCTTTAAAAAAATAAATAAAACTAAGTTATTAACGGAAAATTTTTAAAAGGTCAATGATCTTCCGATTCGCACTTCTTAAAACTCTTACAAAACTGTTTAGTGCAAATCTCTTATCACATTAGATATTCTGAGTTTATTTATGCCCAAGATAGGACAATCGCCTTATTCTCACTTCAAATATTAACTTGTGGTTTAGGTCGTTTAGTGGGCACGTGATAGAACACTCAGTCACTATGTACAACAAAACGTCAAAACGCACTAATAAGGAAACGACAACAGTAAATTGCACTCTCCAAATCAGCTACTATTAGATCATGAGATAACACCAACCAAATCCTTCCAGTCATTCCGTGCCAAATCTAATGCGAACGAAACACAATCTCAATTATACATATGGTTCAATTTCTCTAGAGAGAGAAAGAGCAAGAAAAAAAAACAACAAAAAACGAAAACACAAGGTACATTGGAATACACGTAACCCGATGGTTTGACGTGTTCTGTATAGTTTACAAAGGTATTCATATATCATTTTTTACACAAGGGAAAGGTGAAACGTACTTTTGACAAACTTCATGCGCATTAATACTTCGTAATCTCGCCCAGTTACCTTTCTTTCAGATTGAATTGATTATCTTAAGTTTGTATTTTATTGCAATCTAGGAAATTAGTATTATACAGTGTTCGGTTTTGACCCAAATGTTTGTACATTGGTATACGTGAGAGACAATTGGTCCCCGAGATCACATACATACATGAATTTTGAGTGTATTAATGTCACAGTTTGCATGTACTAATGTTTATATATAAACATGCGCGCCATTCAGCTCCCGTCTTATGGCATTTGTTAATATCAAATATTTTCTGTCATATTTTCAGTGTATAAAATCCTCAATTAAATTATTAATAAATAGGTATTTTCAGTATAGTAATTTCTTGTAACATTTGCTCTGACTGCCTGAGCAACAACTTCGGTTGACACGCAATCTGTTCTGATTGCCTGAGCAACAGCTTCGGTTGACACGCAATCTGTTCTGACTGCCTGAGCAACAGCTTCGGTTGACACGCAATCTGTTCTGAATGCCTGAGTAACAGTTTCGGTAGACATGTGAACTGTTCTGAATACCTGAGTAACAGTTTCGGCAGACATGTGAACTGTTCTGAATACCTGAGTAACAGTTTCGGTAGACATCTGAACTGTTCTGAATGCCTGAGTAACAGCTTCAGTAGGCATGTGAACTGTTCTGAATGCCTTAGTAACAACTTCAATATGCATGTTAAGTATTCTGACTGTCTGAGTAACAACTTCAATAGGCATGTTACGTATTCTGACTGCTAAGTAACACCAGCAGTTAATTGATATCCACCACCGATATAATATGAGGAATGCTCGTGTAACATCTTTAATTATCATTTCAACAGTTTATATTTGAATATGATATTCATAATTTTCTCACTTCAACCTACTATTTATAACTTATAGCAGCAACAACAAAATGCTACCGTGTATGTGGGTATTGTAACGATTCTGTGGAATCTCCACTAAAAATTTGAAGTTAATCAGAGTATCACAGTAAAGATCGAGGTCAGCAAGAAAACCAGTGTGCTAACATTATGATAAACACACTTTCCAATGATTATCGTAAATTAATTGGTATGAAATCATACTAATTCTCCTCGGAGCAACATAAAACAGAACTCGCTACACAAATCTCATGCCTGTGAACAAACAAAGCTAAGATTACAAATACCAGGTCAGCTGGAACCTTCAGTTTGTGGGTTAAACAATCATCATCTGTTTTCGGTACAAATATTAATAATATCGTATTACGTACAGAAAACACCTGTAAGTGTTCACTAAAGTTAATTACGTAATGGCCCAAATACACGGTAATTCTGACTTATTCTCTGTTTTGAAACAGTACGCAGTCATTTTCAAAGTAGTATTATTGTCGCACTTTATTCTTAATAGATTTTAAAATTATTATATGCTGAACGGACAACATACATGAAAATCGATTATAAGAAAAGAGTTAACTGCGTATAGCAGTACTTATTTTTGAACTGACAGATTAGAGGAATGGCAGATAGTCAACAGCACCCACTGCCAAATTTTCGACTACTTTTGTCTGACAGTCACTTTTATAGAGCACCTACGGCCCCAATGTACGGATCGCGTTTTTCCGGCAACGGGCTACGAACCGTAAGTCCTTGGATTCACAGTCTCAGCACGCTAACTACTAGACTCTGGCCCTAGATAAATCGTGTCTATCTTATTTATTTATACGCACGTGCGTGTTACACAAACGTTCAAATACTATGTGATGATAACTTAACTACCAAAAATATAGAGGGTTAAACTGTGAACCAAAAATATAACTCCATAACTCCGGTGATAGAAACATAATTTTTTAATTTTATTTTTCCCATTATAATGGTAAGCCTTTTAATGTTCTGTACGAACAAGAACGCCCTTTACCTTTTGAATTACATTTTACATCAAAATGAAAATACATAACAGTGGTGTGGGAAAGAGTTGTAAAGGGGGAGCGCTTGGCTAGACATGCAGAATATAACAGCATAATTTACAGTTGCTATACAAGTCAAATATGTAAAATTGGGGGTGGTAGAGCACCCCCGATTCCAACGCTTCTGCACAAATATGTCAGTAGGCCGAATTAAAATGCCGCGTAGAATTCGAAGTGATTTACACTTGTGTCGCTCAAATACACTTAAAATTAACAAACAGTTAAAATATAGAGAAACTTTGAATTTTAACCATCTAATATATAAAGCTAAGTTTGAGTCTCTTTGTTCGCACCTTTCAGCCATCTGTTCCTTATACGTTTCCCCATTTCATGATCAATCAGTACCAAACATGACACGGTGATACAATATTACACGAGGACGGTCATGAAGGGGTTGGGGGGTTGGACCCCACATCTTCTGTATAAATAAACGTCAATATACGTATGCATCTGTTCCTTATACGTTTCCACATTTCTTGATCAATCAGTACCAAACACGACACGGTGATACAATATTACATGGGGACGGTCATGAAGGGGTTGGGGGTTGGACCCCACTTCTTCTATATAAATAAACGTCAATATACGTATGTATCTGTTCCTTATACGTTTCCACATTTCTTGATCAATCAAGACCAAACATGACACGGTGATACAGAATGACATGAGGAAGGTCATGAAGGGGTTGAGGGTTGGACCCCACTTCTTCTATATAAATAAACGTCAATATACGTATGCATCTGTTCCTTATACGTTTCCACATTTCTTGATCAATCAAGACCAAACATGACACGGTGATACAGAATGACATGAGGAAGATCACGAGAGGGGGGATGGGCCTGGACCCCCATCTAATTTCATATCTAATTTCGGGAAAAACTACCAAATCAGCACATCTTGACACAGTGACATGAGGGTGTGGTTGGATCCCTCGTTTAATTTCATATCTAATTTCGGAGAAACTATCAATGTTGTATATCCCTGAGCATAAGAATGAACTATGTAACCACTATTGCTAGAATTCTTGAAAACAGTATGTCTTTCTTTTCAGTATTGGTACCTTTATGTATTTTACTGCAATTTTAATGTTTATTATGTTAAACAAAAACAGAATCACAATTTCCTATCCTTTGTTACAAATGAGTTTTTATTTCACACGTCCAACGGATGGATATACCAGCTAGTTTCAAATAAGAGGGAAACTTTAATGATAGTGTTGGCGTACATCATATTGTTAGCGTGTAAACATCGACTACTTCATATAAAGTGTATTGTTACTCAGTGTTTTAGACAACGACTTGGTGTGGTGTATATGTTACTCAGTGTTTTAGACAACGACTTGGTGTGGTGTATATGTTACTCAATGTTTTAGAAAACGACTCGGTGTGGTGTATATGCATACAGCAGCATTAGAATTGAAACTTAGGTTTTGTTGAGCATCAAAGATATACATACAAGCAGACTTAGACTAATACATATAACAAGAGATGTGAATATAGGAAAGTTTCACGTTGCTTTGAACAGCGGTCAAGATACTGTAAATGAAAAATCGTTTCCTTAGATGTAACACGATTAATACTACCTGACGAATGGCTTCTCCCTGAAACGTTGCAAGTGATAATAATAAAACGCGATTTTTTAATATTTTGTTGTTGTTTGAGGTTAACCACAAAGCTGCACAATAAGCGGCATAGGATGAATGTTCTATCATATTCGTGTCAGATCATCTGATATGTTACTTACGTAATAATGAATTGGCGAGGGAAGATTGACATAGTTTGATTACAGTAGTTTCGCCTTATCATAACTATGACATCACACATTTCGATTGTCCTTCTGTTGTTTGTTCAGTGTGGTAAAATTGCTT